CATGTTCTTTCTATGTTCAAATAACCAACTAACCTAGTTTAAGCGCGATTTCCAAGTGAAGTTACTAGCAAAACCCGAATACTCATTAAAAATCATGTAGCTTGCCAATCGGGAGTAACATGAAAGATACGGCGCCAATAATTGAAATGTTGTTACGGTACGCTGTTTCTTAAACTTAGATGGTCATTCCTTAATTAAATAGCCCACCAACGGCCGAGCGGTAAAGACGCTGAACACTGGTAGTTCGGTCTCGAGGTTCGAATCCCGCGAACGGGCTGGCCGCATGGGCGTTTCGTGGTTTTCCCCATGTGTAACGTGTATACGAGCCAGTTTCCCTTAGAAAGTCCTCCACGAAGGCATCCCTCCCTTTAGGCAGATAGCCCTCGTGTGCTTTGCCATAATTAAATAATCCAATCCAATCCTTAATTAATTAAATATAATTGATTTGTAACTTCTACTAGAACTGACGGTAAGAATTGAAGTGGAAATAAATAATATGGTGTGCAATCTTGATTAATATAAAATTAAAAATATTTGCATAGAAAAATATTTGCATTCAGACAGAAAGTTTTTTGAAATATTTGCAATTACTTTATAAGAAGGATTTATTAATAACCGTAATAATTACTTATTATATTACTGATGATTAGGATTCAGTTCTTGACAATTACATTCTAAATTAGAATTTTAAGGATATATAATTATAACATATTGAAATTAATTCAGTCTCATATATATAATATAAAAATGATTATTCTAAATTTAGTGATTTAAAAAAAATGATAGTATCAGCCGCTCTTTCAGCCACAAAGCAACAGTTTGTTTAGAAATAAATTAATGCAGTTAATGTCATAAAATTTTCATAAAATTCAAATAAACATCAAACGAAAATTCTCAGTTTTAGACGAATTCGATTAAACGAAAGTAAAGTAGACGATAAAACGCCGAAGGTAAAAATTTACTCTTACAAAAATTTACTCTTATTTTTTAAAAAGGAAGAAAAGAGGAAAAAAAAGAAAAATAATTAAAAAAATTTAAAATATAATTAAAAATAATAATATTTATTACTATAATATTTTTGCCAAGAAAAAAACAAATTAATTCTCCGTAAAATTTTACTTGAAAAAGGTTAAAATTAGCTGTGGCAATTCACTGTGTAAAAAAATCCATAAACCACATTTGGCATTATTATCGCTCAAAAAAAGATGCCAAAAAAAAGATGCCATTTGACTTTTATAAAATTCTATATTCTGTGATTTATATGATATAGCCGCTCTTTCAGCCACTTCAAAGCAACAACAGAAATAAATTATGCAGTTAATGTCATAAAAATTTTCATAAAATTCAAATAAACATCAAACGAAAATTCTCAGTTTTAGACGAAGTTAAAGTAAAGTAGCAGACGATAAAAAGTAAGGTATAAAAAAATTTACTCTTATTTTTTTAAAAAAAGGAAGAAAGAGAGGAATTAAAAAAATAGTTAAAAATTTCAATAATATCATCTATAATTTAAAAAAATAGCTTTTCATATAGTATTAATAAATATTTATTACGCCTTTTTGAGAGAAACAATATCATTAATTCTCCGTAAAATTTTACTTGAAAAAGGTTAAAATTAGCTGTGGCAATTCACTGTAACAAAAAATCCATAAAACCACATTTGGCGTTATTATCGCTCAAAAAAGATGCCAAATTTCAAAACGCGAAAATATGTAAATTCGTGTATATCTTAGAAATTTTTGAATAAAAAAGTCTAATTTTTGCAGATTGCTTAAAAATAAACCTACTTTAAGATGATGGTAAAACTTTTATAGGTTTATAATTCAAAAAAAAATTTATAAAAATTATTTAAAACTAGAAATTTAAAAAAAAAACACAAAAAATGGGTAAATTTTATTTGGAATGAACCTAATTTCGAAATGTGAAAGGAAAAATCAAAAAAAGTTTAATAAAAAAGAGATATTAATAAATATTTGCCAAATTCAATTAACATTGAGGAGCTAAAATTTTGAGAGCTATATTTTAAAAACTTCGATTTTTACGAAAAACTTGGTATTCTGGCATGGCATAATTTGAGTCATAGAATCGGAAATATGGAAAGAAAAAAGGTCCGATTTTTTGTCAAAATACGTGTTAAAATATAGTGCTAATATAAATCTAATATAAGTCGCGCTTTCGAGATATGAAAAAAAACACAGTTTGAATTTTGTCAATCGGCCCAGTAGAACGGGAGATATAGCACTGTCCCTTTTTTTTTTTTTTTGAGCAGTGTACATTTAAAAAACCTATCTCAAAAACTTGCACCTTGCAATTACTGATTCTAAAGCATAAAATTTCATATTTCTATCGTTAAAAAAACACAATTATTTATGTATCACAAAGACACATTATTAAAACAACTAATACAATACTTTTGTTCACACAGAATTATTTATTTTGAAAAGTATTTTATTTTGCATTTGCTTTGTTATGTATATTTTACATCGTACTTAAATTTGGTTTTCTATCAGTACGTATACTTTTTGTAATTAGCATGTTCCCTATATTTGTTGAATAATGTATATATTAAATGCAAAATACAATCAGTCTCTACTTTCATATCTAAAGCACTTGGCAAAGCAAGGATGCCATATTTAGCATGATATAATGTGCACTGCATACATCACTTAGAAAACAAAAGGAACAGATATTCTGTCAGCAACACCATACCATTGGTGCATCTACTAATAAATTTGAAGCATTGGAACGTCGGTTATTATTGTTTTCAATTTTTTCTTCCGATTAACTTGCTGTTAATAAATATTGTTTATATGAATATTTTGGTTCATCAAATTTTAAATGACTGAAATTAAAGTGTATCATGGCCTATGCAACCAATGAACAAAAATTTATATAAGAATCATTCATGCATATTACAGGCATATATGTGCCTCTTCCCATATCCTGATATATTAATATATTCATGCATATAACAAAGTAGCAAATGATGGTAGAGCGTGTGAGCTATCTAATAATAACATAGCTAAATTCAATATAGAAAAAACAAAAAATACTTGGTAAATAATAATATACTTGGAATGGTTCATACATGATTAGGACAAATTAATCAACATGATAGATCTATATCTATTTCATAATCAGAACAACAGAGAGTGATCTAGGCAGCAACAAAATGAATTACTACAGCACATATTAAATGATACAAAGGAGAATTTTCATAAAAGAGAGCTGTTTCATGATGGATATGAAAAAAACTTTTACACACACACACACACAAAAAAAAAAAAAAAAATTTGAGCAGGAAAAAATTTGAGCCACGATTACATAACCTGGCATACGCATGTAGTTTGGCAAGTTGTTGTGTAAATGATTAAACTTGCAGCACCAATCAGTAATGTGGAGTGATATAGCATGCACCTGAAGTGCGCAGATGGTAGAATGTAAAGGGGCAAGTGCGGTGAGTGACAAGCATTTCCAACTGCACTACATGACATTATAATGAAAGATGATAGAAAGACACATTTGATGGCATTATGAACAGTTATCGGACTTTGGGAGGGGTTGCATTATAGGGCTAAAAGAGGCCAGTTAGTTGAACAGGTTGAAACACATGCACATTGGTTGAAATGATATGGTTGTTGTCCGTTGCTGGAAAGTGAAGACATAGTCAGCCACTATAGTGGCTAGAGCCTACCAGTGTGTGATATGATCACCCAATTAGAACAGCTGCCATGTCCGCACCAACGATTATGCTATTATTGATTCAACACCATTTGACAACTTGCAGGGATCAAAGGATAGAATTGCAGAAGACTAAATGAAGTTCGACAGATCTAAATACCTATCAAGATACTTGCACTGACCCTTCCCTATAAGCTGTATTGTCTTACACAGTCCCCCCCTCACTCAGACTGGACAATGTCTGATTGGAGAAATGTGTTCTTCAGAAATGAATCACGCTTTTCTCTCAATGCTGATGACCACCGCAATATGTCTACAGATGGATAGGTAAGTGATCCAATATAACATTTGTTTCCAAGTGGCACACAGCCAGAAGGCAGGGTGTAATAGCCTGGGGAATGATCAGCTGGAACAGCTGTTGACCATTAGTCGTGCTGAAAGGTACTATGACTGATTGCAGGTATGGTGATGACATATTGCAGCCTATCGTACTGCCTATGCAGGTCATCTAGGTTCTGTTTTCCAGAAGGATAATGCTCAGTTACGTATAACTTTCCAAACAATGCCTTTGACATGCTATAATGTCCTCAACTGACCTGCCAGATCTTCAAACCTATCATTTAAGAACGTGTTTGGGACATGTTAGGCAGGCAAATTCAGCCATGGACAAATATGTCCCAACTCGCTGATCAGTTTGTTCATTTGTGGCACAATCAACCACAGAGGAACATCGGTAATTTAATAGACATCCTGCTGAACAGAGAACTGGCTTGCATAGCTTAGCTGCCGCTGTGGCTTTACCAAATAGTGATTTTCACATTCTTTGTATTGCTACTCTTTAATAAAATGATTTTTTCCCCCAATTTTTAATGCACAGTTACTATTTTAGTGTTTTCCCAGGATTATCAAATGCTACCCATACCCGACTAGGTGCAATAGAGTGTGGGGTGGGAAATATGGACACTCAGTAATTTGATACTGTCCATAAGAGAAATGCTTGTTAATTACAATATGGTATTCTAATATAAAGAAAATTAAAACATTACCTGAAAATTATATGACAGATCAATTCAAGTAATAATAATTACATTTCTATTTAATGAGTCAAAACAGTCATATTTTATTTATGAGTCAAAATGGAAAGCATTTCCATTTTCTTGAGTACTAATTCTATTTTACGAGTCAAAATGGAAAGTATTTCCTTTTTCACTGAATATCAGCACAAATTTTTCACATATTTTAACACAAAAAATGAAAAAATATTTTTTAATTCAATGACTGAGAAACTCTACTAATTATTATAACAGAAAAATACTCACAGAAGGTCTTCTATAAAGAGATGAATCCAATTTTGGGTACTTTTCATACTAAGGAAGAAAAATCAAAAATTACTTAATTTCTGCTAAAGGTTTAACCCTCTGAGCAGCACAGCTTTTTGCATCTGTTCATGAACAGCTGTGTTGAAACAGCACTTATTAGCTAGATTTATATAATTGCTTATATTACCGTCTATTTTCATCCATTTGAATGAAAAATTATTATTATTATTAGAGGAAATGAGAGGGGGAACTTTATATTATAAGGTAACATATAAAGTGACCAAAAATATCTCTAGTTAATAAAGGTAATCATGCTGCTCAGAGAATTAAGTAAAAAACAGAACAAAAAGTTATTCAATCTTTGCTCTTACTAATTAGAGAAACATTTTATTCAAGATAAGTTACAAAATTACTTAAAAATGTTATTTAAACTACACATGTATTCAAACGTTATTGCATTTGTAACATGTGATGGATTGTGCATTAATTAAAACATATACTTCTGAAAGTTTTTAGAGCATCCTTATTACCAGGCACATAACAAATATTATATAATGTCATGTACATTTTTCTGTAGCAAAGAAAGTTTCTGAAACATTAGTAAAATATAATATGCCAAATAAATACATAAAATGAAATAAAATAAAAATTCCAACTGGAAAGTTTAGGCTGAAAACTTTAGTGCTTCCTTTTTTAGAAACAGGTAAACTCTCAATTTCAATATGCTGCAGTTACAGTAATAACAGCTTTCATGCATAATTTACTTAGTTGCATAATAACCACAATCACATTTTCCCCCATAATACGGTACAACTTAAACTCTTCAGCTATCTAAACGTGACCAAATCTTTCTATGGTTTTGTAGAGTTTTAGGCTAGGTCCATTGAATATGGCAAAGCACATGGGAAGGCTATATGTGCCTAATGGCTGGGATGCTTTCATGGAATACTTTCTATGGGAAACTGGCTCAAATTCATGTTAAACATGGGGAAAACCATGAAAAATAACAATGCAGCCAGCCCGTTTACCCGAAAAATAACAATGCAGCCAGCCGTTAGGTTCAAACCGAGGACCGGTATTCAGAAGTCTTGAATCACTTGGCCACTGGCCGATTTATAAAATAAAAAAGTAATACAACTTATAGAATCCCAATCAAAATTATTACATTTTACTATTTCAAAAAATGCTATTATAAAATTTTGCTGTTTTCAATAAATTCTGGAAAATAAAATTTGCATTAATTCAGTCTTTGTGCACACGAGTTCTCATACTTGGTGATATTATTCATTGCAGTTTTACTTTTACAGATCACATTTGGGATTTAATTCGACATAGTTTATTATATTAGGTGTAACTGTATAAGGTATTTCTCCCACTTCCCTAGCGTGCCTTCGTGGTATAATGCTGGGACGGTATTCCAGAGGTCCGTGGTTCAATTCTCGGCGAAGGCAGTTGCATATTTTTCATCTTCGGCTTCCAAAAAATCCTAATGACTCTACAAGTGGCGCCTGAACTAAAAGGGTTGTGGATGATGATTCTCCGCACCCAGGATTTGGTGACTAGGTCCCATAAAACCCTAGTCACCCTTTAAAAAGGGGAGTATATGAGGTATTCCTCACGCATTCTGCACACTGGGCCGGTATTCCAGAGGTCCGTGGTTCGATTCCCGGCAAAGGCGATTGCTAATTTTTCATCTCTCCAGCTTCCAAAAATTGCCTAATGTCTCTACAACTGGAATCTTATACTGATATCATGAGAAACTAAGATGATGAAAGATACTTCTCTAAATAAACTTCATTATTGTAAATTGATTTATTTTGCTTTTCGAACTGCATGATAATTTTGTATACCTCAATCAATTAATAAATTACTTCTCATTATATATAACTCATGTTGTCTATATAATTTAGACTAAGCACCCAGAACTACACAACACTTACCAGATGGGAAGCTGGCTGTGTTACCATGGGAGCACCAAGAGGAGGAGGTGCAATAAAGGGGGCTTGTTGATGCATTTGGCTATGATGCTGAACCTCACTTTGCATGTATGGAGGAGGAGGTATAGGAATGGAATGGTCCTGAGAGGCTAAAAACCTTGTGTCCAACTCCCTTCTTAGAAGGTCGGGATCTGATATTAAGAACAAAATACATGTGATTAGCATTTTACTCTGAAACATGTTGTGATTAACCATTTGGGATTTTTTTTGGTACAGAAAGCTGAAAATCTACATGCATTTAAAACAAGGCAAGTATTATACAAATCAATTTTAAAGATTAGACATTCAAAAGACATAACAGATTTTTGTAATAGCAGACTATTTGTTAGATGCGCTTAAAATGCATTCACGCTATAATTCAGTAAAAGTAATGATAATATATTTAACTAGCTGTTTTAAATATCATTTTTAGTCAGTCCGTTGAGAACAATTGCTTTCCAAAATTTTTCCAAAAAGTTTTCAGTGTTTTCCCTCTAAACACTTCTTAAATTTTGCTTTAGAAAGCAACAGCTAAAATAAAAGTATAAGTTATGTTCTTATTTATTAAAAAAGTGAAACGCATATTTCCCACCAAAAAAAGTTTTCCCAACAGTCAGCATCTAATTAGTACTTCCAAGATAAAAATAATAATTTTAAACACAATTTGTTTTCCCCATTATCATTTGTGGGAAATTTAACAGATCTAAATTTCATTTAATTAATACCCATGATTATTAATGAATAAAATTTCTTTAAAACTAAAGAAAATAATGTTGAAATTAAGAAAGAAAATAATAAGATTAAAACAGAAACATTATCCCTGAGAATAATAACTACCTTAATTAATTAAAATCTAATTATTTTTGTCATCTTAAATTAACAACACTTTAACACTTCCAAGCTCTTGAGCAAAAGACATCAAATTACACCCCTCCTCAAGCTTGCAGAGCATTCTACAATGTGTAAAGGTAGTCTAACATTTTCTTGTAGTATGTACAATATCACTTTCATTTGCAGAAGAATGTCCGCAAATGCCCCTTTCATTCTTCTTTTTAAGTTGCCCTGCACTACATGTGCTGATTCCTTGCATTTTGCATCCCCTATGATATCATGGTGCTGATACTTGTCTCTGCATTACCTTTCTTCCAAGTTGGCTTTTCACTGTACTGATCAAAGCCATTTTCAAGAATTTCTTGGCTGTATATTAAAAAACTTAATTCGTTGCCTAAGTGCATGACAGATATTGTCAATAAATCCATCTGAATGACACCAGTTTGATGCTCCCCATGAATGCTCTAATCCAAATCATTACAAGTTTTTCAAATTTTTCTTCTATTTCAAAATTATTTTTTTAATGTTTTAAAAATGAGAAAAAGATTAAATGATAGTGAAAATAAAAGAAATTCAGTTGTATAACAGCAATGCTGCAAGGCCATAATACAGAATACTACATACAAGGCATCATAATACACGGACTACCTCTAACTCTCTCAAAACTTTTAATAGTTTTGAATTAATGAAAAAGAACATGATGAGTTCTGATCAAATTAATATACACAAATGGTGTCTTTTCACTTGACAGCAATAAAAATTCTTCTTTCAAAATTTTACAATTATTTCAGAAGTGCCAAGAAGCTGACCATTTTATTTAATTATGCTGCTTAACAAAAGTTTCATTTTTTTTTTACTTATCAACTAATATATAAAAATAACCACTTATATTACATTTCAGCAATTAGACCTAAGATTGAAAAACTGCTAGACAAAAACTTAAAAATAATGCAATGCATATTTTAAAAGAAAAATACTTAGCTTTACAAAATACAAGACTATGTGAGAAGAATAAAAAATAAGGAAAATAAAATTTCAAACATTTTATTGCCCTCTGAACTCACGTTTCTTATACTCACTGTGCTGTGGAAATAAAGTCTCAGCTCTATATGGGGAAGGTCCAGCTGTGGATTCCAGAGGCAGTGTGGGTGTTAGTGACCCAGGAGTAAAAATGGTATGATGTGAAGCAACTGGTAAAAGTGGAGGTGGTGGAGGTCCAGGATGATTGTTGAATGGAGAGGTATGATGAGCTGGTGGAAGTGTAGGAGGAAGTGGCAGACTGGTGCTTCCACTGTTACTCAGAGCAGGTGATGCTTGAGGAGGAGCAGGAGATGAGCGAGGCGCTGAAGTTGATACTGTATTAGTTGTGCTAGAACTCCTGAAAAACCAATTCAATATACACATAACTATTATGATGAAAAAAATATTATGATTTATTTTTTTTTAAATAGGGTAACACAAATTTACTAGTTCTGATTTGGATAACAGAAAATTTTATTATACAGTACAAAGTCGGAGATTTGGAATCGCTGGCACTTTGGTGATTCTAGAACTTTCCAGACTTTAGATTATCAATTTAAATCTATCAGATGACATGTAAATATGGAAACACTGGGGTTTCACTTATTGTTTAGGTCAGATAGAAAAATGCTAATCCCACACAGACACTCAAGGGTTATAAGTGTACTCCCAGCCAATATCAACATATTGTCAATCAAATATTCTTATTGGTCTAGGTGCAAACAGACATGCAGAAATCTCAGAAGAAAATCTGCATTTGCAGCCCACCATCTATTTCTTTTAATTGAGTATTATATTATTTACTCCCAGACATTGTTGGAAGGGGAATTTTTTAGGGGGGGGCAGTGGTCTAGATATTAGATCATTCCAGATACTGGACATCTCAATTTTGGACTTTGTACTGTAGTAACAAATGAAACACTCAGCCAAAATGGTTTTCTACATGCAAAACAAAATATCCAAATATTATGGCTAACTTTTTAAAAAACCCAATGCTTTTGTTAAAAGTGTAAAAACCCATGTTTTGTTACTTGCATGATAGAACACAGCTGATATAAAGTTTCCAAAAATACATATAATATTTCAAAACTTCTAAAAATTTTGAAATACTAAATAATACTTCTAAAAATACTCAGAAATGAGAGAGAGGGAGAAGTATGAAGAATAAAAAACAAACTTTTCAAAAGTAACTAAAATTCAGTGTTTAAATTTTAGTTTAGGCTAAAACACATTTAATACAACAAATCCTAAGAATATTGAAATCAGTTTTTTGACAGTATGCAGAATTCAAATGCAAATCCTCTATTTTTACCCATGAAAAATTATTTTAAAGCTAACTTATCAATTGCATGATTAAAAAATATTCATTTAGCAAGCATGGCACCTGATATACAGGGTGCGACAGCATTCATAGTAGGATATTAAAAACACACTTTAAGGCAGTAACTGTAATTTATTTATTACCTCTTATGTCAATTAATAGTTAAAGGTATGCCATTTCCTAATGTGTAAATCATTGCCCATTGCGTGGATTACTTTTTGAATATGATGCCTCCTCTGCACAGCACATTCATCTAGGTGGCGTTGGAAGCTTGCCATAACTCGGTGTAGAGTATTCCCTGGAACATTGCTGACAGCAGTTCTGATGCGACACTTCAACTCAGAAATGGTGCCACAAACGTGTTCAGAAAACTTCTTGCTTCGGGTGGCCCCAAAGGAAAAAGTCTGCACATGAAAGATCAGGTAAGCGAAGCAGCCAGGAAATGTCACCAAAACGGGAAATTACTCTACCTGGAAATGTCTGTCATAATGGTCCGGCCACCTGGAACTTTCCCATGATGTCCCAAGTTGAAATGCTGCCGAAATAGACACTGGGTAGCAATAACAGAGTAGTTATTCTTGAAATTGCTTTCAACAGCAAAGGCACGATACTGTGCACTCCACCGATCCATATCACTGTCATACTCGAAATGGCAGCTCATTAGTATACGAATGCGGCACGAGCTGGCGCGCATTCATGCAGTATGTCATTGTGCTATGCAAGTCAAATTATGCTATGAATGCTGCCGCACACTGTACAATCAATGCCAGACCTACAGCTATCTCCTTATAGCTCATTGTTGATCAAAGATTGGTTTCAATCAACTTAACTTTGAAAAGTTTCTTTTGCAAGAAGGAACTGAAACACATACTGTCAAAAAGGTCTTTTGTACGAAATATAAGCTCAGGGCTGATTCTTCGAAGTACCATTTCCTACATAAATTTTAACATTTTCAATGCAAACCACTTTTTAGTTTCACCCTTATCATCAACATCTGCAGCTTGAATATTGCATCTTAACCACTTAATTTTTTAGTAAGATTTCATTTTTTTCTACCTCATTAAAAGTTTCCATGAGACTTGAAATCAACTATGGAAGTTCTTCAATTTCTGCTTAAATAAGTTGCAATAATTGAATGGCTGCAAAACTTTTATGTATTTTTTACACCAGTTGGCCCATTTACACATAAACGTCCTCACAGAATAGAAAGATGCTTTTTTGTTTTCCTACATATCGCTACATATATTTAAAAACTTAAAGGTCCCACCCTAGTCAGAAGCCCACAGCAGTCTTCCCCCTCCCCTGGTACACCACACTGCATAGACAACCAGTGACACTGCCACATGCCTATATAATTATTTTTATTATGTAATTTTTATGTAAATTATTTTCATCCACAAGCCAAAACATGCAACTTATCTCCAATTATTTATGCAACAAACTTATTATTGTTAAGACTAGTTTACATTTTATAATAAAATGCAATTTAAATGGTATTCATATAAAATTATATTAATATTTTTACATACATTTTCTTACAATTTCTTTATACTATTTTACAGATGGAATTTCTTTAAATTTAACACAAACACACTCTATAAAGCTCAGTAATAGACATGAACTTGCCTAATAACTTACATCATATAGTTGTATGTGAAAATGAATTTAATTCTAACCAGACTGATGATATCAAAAACTTATTTACAACAAATACATAAAAATAACACTGAAAATAATGAAGCAAAATGTTTTTAGAGCTCTACATATTTTATCCAACAATAAAAAAATTATATTTTTGTTTTTAAACACAGCAAAATATACTTTCTGTCTATACAACTGTAAAACAAGGCATCTTCCAAGGTTAACTAAAACAAGTAAGCAAATAACACAATCTGAACATAATGAAAGGTTAGTGGAAAAACTTAAAGCTAATCTTACCCACTCCAGCACTGAGGTTTTGAGAAGACTAAACCTGCCAGACTGCTAGCAGAAGCATACACAGATGTGCTAGTTAAAGCAGAGCTTACAGAAGGTACAACATTACTTGAATTACTATGACTGCGACTTCCTCCTCCTTCTCTGTCTTTGTTCACTGGTGTACTTAACTGACTGAGACTGGACAAACTACTGTTGCTATGAGAACTGTGCGTATCTCTGGCAGGAACAGGAGTTGGTGTGTTTGGGTGAGAAGCCGCAACAGTTGGGCTACGACTTCTTGACGCAAGCACATGAGATGACGTGGCACTCGACACTGTAACAGATGTAGACACTGAAGTTCGCATAGAGCTGGATGCTGCTGAATTAACAGCTGCAGGAGAAACTGGCAATATGGAAGGTGCACTAATGACTGGTGAAGAAAGAGATGCCGGAATAGTCAGAGGTGACATTCTAGGGGAATTGGAATAGTCAGTTGCAGCATTCAGTTTTCGTATAGGTTGAGAGGTAGAATAAGGAATGCCATATGATGACCTTGATTGCCCTGGAGATGATTGAAGTCTAAGATCACCAGCCATAGCAGGAGGTAGGATAGTAGGTGGCGGTGGTTGTTCAGTTTTGCAGACAGAGACACCAGTTTTTATGCTCATATCCAAAGCACTTTTGTGACTATTTTGAATGACAGGAGCAGACAGTACAGGAGGAGCAGACACACAAAGATTTGTGGCATGGCCATTGCTCACTCCCATCTTGTCAGCTGTAGAATCTTTATTGACAGAGGCAACTGGTGGTGAGATGCCCTTGTGAAGAAATTTGGACTGTGATAAAAAAATCACACCATCAGGGGAAGAAGGTGCTGAATGGTCAGAAACAAAATCATACACATTAATAGCTGGTTTGCTTAATGTAGCCACACTCTCCCTGCATGAAGGCACTGCAGGAGCCCTCTTGTGAAGAAATTTACTCGGTGACAACAACTTGGTTGCAGTCACAGGTGAAGGTGGAGATGTATCTGATACAAATTCATAACCATTACTCAAAAGTTTGCTTCCAGAAGCACTTTCTTTATTATTTACTGCTGGAGTATGGCCCTTGTGTAAAAAGGGAGGAGGTGGCGGTGATGCAGGAACAACTCCAGAAGGAGGAGAGGCGGGAGATGAACAAGAAACTGGAATGACTGCAGGACTGCCTATCTGCGGTTCCCGTGGACTAGCAGCACCCACAACCATGGTTGAGGAAGTATTTGAAGGGCTGGCACTTGCTGTAACAGCAGCCACCGCAGTTGATGGTTCTGGATGATGAGTCCCATTCTGTACAGGATGAATAGGAGGCAACACTGGGGGAGATCGACAATTCTGAGAATGACCAGGGTTATTCTTCTTGGCAATAAAATTACCTATAATATCATAAAAAGATAGTTTTAAATACATAATAATAAAATATCTAATTAAGAAGTAAAAATTAATAAACAACATTTTTTATTAATTGTATTTAAATAATGACAATGAAAACTTTCTTACTGGCTTTTATTAATAATGAATGAATTCCTTAACACTTGTGTAACCCCTCTGCGTGTTTTTTTTTTTTTTTTTTTTTTTTTTTTTTTTTTTTTTTGTTGAAAATGTTATAAAAAGTAATTCTTATCTCCACGCATAATACTTAAAATTAATCAATATAGAACAGTGAAATGAAATCATAATTGTACTTACTATCAGTAATTTTACTATTGAACAGATCACATTCTGGCTCCGAACCCTATAAAAATATTTTATGATATTAAAGGCATGGCAAAATATTTAATTACACAGAAATGTACATTTTCCTGCAGTCATATATTCCATTGAGAACTTTTTCATTAATATATTTAATACACTTATTTAGAAAAATACATAAGCATTGGTATTTGGATAAAGCATTATTTTGTATACATATTTTTATGAACTCCTTTATCTCGGACAAGTTAATTTGATGAAGTTATACAAAGTACAAACTATACTGAATGTTCTTCAATGCAGATAAAGCATTTTAACTCTACAAAGATAATTTTGTAAGGTTAAATTTGACAGTTTAAAATTTGTTTTTGAGTATACCATCTTCATACGTGGGCTCAGTTTGAAGCTACTGAAGCTCCATGTTGTCTCTAATGTTATTTGATATATATGTCATATCCATAAAATTACTCATACAGCTTTTATTTTTGCAATGATTGGTCACAGATATATACTTCCAATTATAAAAGTATTTAAAATGATAAAATATTCATATTTTGGCACTTAAAAAACAATATCACAAAAATTACAAAATCTAGCTTTTTGTATGGTCCTCCTGTTCCTCTAGTTATAGTTATTAAAAGTTTATACTCATTATAAAAAGTTAAAAGAAAGAGCTTCACTTCTGTTTAACAAAAACTGACTGAAGTATTTCATTTCAAAATCTGCAATTTCTGTCTTCAGGCCTTACTAACTAATTAAAAAATAAATTAGAATAATTTGAGATTGATTTTTTGCCATTTAGTATCATTTGGTGATAGTCCTCTATGAAGTATAAATAGCGTGTAATATTCCGCAATTTATAAATTTTTTTACATCTGGTATGACAAAAACATTTTTACACAAGCAATTCTAAGTTTTTAAAAGCTAAAATTGCATTAATAATATTCACATGCAGTTTTATTATTTTAGAACCATAATTTAACAGTCAAGATCAGAGACAAATTTAGACTTGATAAGGACCTAAGCAATTTGAGACATGGGGGCCCTTTATAAGTCTGTTATACAGTCAAAAGTCATTACTTCGGCGATTCCGGATTATCGATTTTTCTGGATTATAGATCATCAGTTTAAATCTCGTAAGATGGCATGCAGAAATTCTAAAATTAAAAATATGAAACTGTAATTTATGAAATAAAGAACAATTCTGATCTAAAGGGTATCAAAATTTACAAAAAAAAAAAAAAAAAAAAAAAAAAAGCTTAATATTTATTTGTTTACTTTATTATACATTTCTTTCAATGTAAGTTGTTTAAGTTTCGTTTTATGCGATAATACTTTCTCTTTAATTCTATAAACAGACATAATTTTATGTTCCGTTACAAAGTTTCGCTGTTCAAGTCCCGTAATTGCTGTGCCGAGAATACTGACTAACTTGTCAATCGAAATATTTTCGTTTTCACTAACCTCTCTGTCACCTTCTTCATGTCTTTATCCATTATTTGCAGCAATTCCACTTTTTGTTTGATGAACATCGAAACATACTTTTGTTTTGTAGATCCTTTGGGAGCTCCAGCATCGGAAATTCTATTTGACATAATTGAAAGTTCAAGTTTACTTTTATAAAATTGTTCTTACAGTCTGCAAAGCTTATACCGTTTGTTATACATAAAACGTGCACGCGTAAATGCCTATGCGCATGTGTCAACACACCGCGTGCGCAGAAAGTTTTTAGCTTTGAGGTCCGGATTATGGGTGTCCGAATTAATGACTTTTGACTGTACTATATTTTAATTTTTGGAGGCCCCCAAGAAAGTGGGTGCCCTAAGCTATAGCTCGTATAACTTATATGTAAATCTGGCACTGGTCAAGATCCCCCTTTTGAGAAAAATACATTGATCAAAACATTTTACATTTCGGCATAGCTAACTATTCCCGTCTCTCAACCTACAAACATCAAAAATACTTTTCATCGTGTGCAAATTTAAATATTTCATACATCAATTTGTGTATTACCTTGTATATAACTCAAAACTGAAATATTTTGGGCAATTTTCATTTCTCCCCCCTTTCATTTTCCTTTCTGTCTCTCTCCTCTTTTTTTTTTTTTTTTTTTTTTAAGAATAAGTGTAAACTCTCACTAAATGTAACTGCAGGTCCCAGAGAACCATTTAAAAAATTAGATTTTGTGATTTTAATAAATTAGATATTTTAAATTTTAAAATGTCATCTCATGGTTATTTTCCTCATTTAAAACACTTTTGTAAAAAAAAGTATATGCCTATGACCAATGACTCTGAAAAATAAAGGCCACATAAGGACTTGTGTCATGATGTACACACCTTTACTACAACCTTTAAGTTTACTCAGGTAAACAGTTATGGAAAGGATATAAAATTTGTTGTACAAAAATTCCAATACTGATTCATTTTATGGTTGTCATTTTGATGACATTATGGGAAAAGAGCAGAAACATTTAAAACAATCTTGTAAGAATTTTACTGTGTAAATATAGTACTTTTGCATGTTTTCTCACCTATGTCCGATAACTATTTTTTCACCTGAAACATCCTATTTGCTCTGCCATGTTAATGGTCCCAACAGAAGAGAGAAATGAAGCAGAGGAAAACAGCATGTCAATTTTCTTAATGTGAAATATGGTTTAAGATAGATGTTTTACAAATAAAGAAATTATGCAATTTTTGCGCGAATGAGACAAAAACTAGTCTGAATGAGGAAAAATATTTGAGGAAGATGTTGTTTCATAGAAACTTAAAATATCTGATAGTGATTTTGAAGTTGATTAAAAAAAAAAACTAAGCTTTTCGTTATGAAAGTTCGCAAAAACTAAGCATACAATTCACTCAAAGAACTATGACATCTCACAGTACTTCTTAAGTGGCATTTTCAAAGACTGAAGAATGTTATCTCTACAAGAGATGACACAATATGGACATACATGCCTATCAGCAGTCAATCAGGATATTTTCAATGTCAAAATATATTAGTGAAATCTGGTGTAACAGCAGCATATACAAAGACAAATGTGGGAAATGAAATAGTAATAGGTTCATTACAATTATTTTAGATGAATGAATAAAAGAATGTATTGAAACACAAAACTCCTAAACAACTTCAAGTAACAGTTAGTAATGCCACTAGATGAGTTTGATACCTTTCCAGTTCTTTTTTACACTTTAGGAACTCATAGTGGAAAAAGGAATGTCTATCAATAGTTTACGGAACAATATGTGGGGATCTATTTTTTTTTTAATGGTACAAAACCACATGAAAATGGAGGAAGTCAAAGAAGCCACAGTCAGAGAAATAATGAGAGTTATGAGATTCAACAAAAAATCCACATCACCTCAGAAACTTCAAACGGCTATTAAAACATAGTATTACAATAACCAGAAAGTGATCAGAGTCCACATTTGCTCCTTGGAATGTCCTTACATCCAAAAGACTACTTTTATGTCTCAGACCTATGAGAACATGGTCAATTTGGTTTTGAATTCTGCCATCAGGAGACATCCAGCATAAACCCTATCAAGAATATATGAGAATTCATTCTTCTCCTCATCTTTTTGTTCCAGGGAAGCATGAGTGCATATAATTGAAATATACTGTGCTTTACCCCTAATGTGTATCCTGTAAATTCTTTCATTTGCTGGTTTAAATTCAATGATTCTATCCCTAATTCACTTACTGACAATAAAACCAGTATTGAAACGATGTGTCTTTATATGACAGACAGCTAGCTGTAACAGACATTGCAATTTTGTTATCAATCACTCCTTGCCCAGTCCATTTCATTTTCTGGATGGCCAGGACATTCAACTTGTATTGGGTGAAAATGTAAATAAGCTTTTTAAAGCTCCACTTCCATAAAATTTTCATACATTCCATGTTCAAAATTTCAGGTCTGATTTCACAACAAGTCATCGAGAATGTATCAGTCTGTAAAGTTCTTTTCAAAGTTTCTTAATCGGGAGAGTTTTTACGAGGCAGGGTGGATTAGCCCTGAGCCCAACCCCTTACTTGCAGGACAAGGCAAATGGTATGCAACAGCTAAGTCTCAGACATGCTTGCCTTCTTTATACATTTCACAAGTTCATTTTTTCACTTCCATGGTGAATCCTAACAATTTTATTTATTGCTCGACTCCTCTCATGAACTTTCCAAAAACTCATTGATAATGAATTTGCAAAACACTTACAGGAAAAAAAAATCTCTTGAAAATTCAATGTTATAACATGGGCTGTTTATTGAGCAGTAGCAATGGCATAATGACATTTATCTGCGATCATAGCATTGTCTTGAAAGAGGTAACCAAGTGCAGTATCTGCTGTCATCACTCACTGAACTTATGTCTTATTCCAAACAAACATTTTTGCATCCAAACAGGATGTACACCAAGCTGGACATATTTTAGTGCGGATATATAGTGAGGGACCCCAGTATATTCATAACTTTTTTTAATTATGAATTAAATTTTTCTGAAAGTGAATTAATATGTGTCTAAAATTTTTGATATTAGTTATCACACCTAACTAGAATTATTATATATCATTTTTAAATGATTATCACACCAAGACACTTCGAAGTTACAGGACAGAACACGTGATAAAGCAACCAAATTTATTTTAAATACATTTAGTTTTCGAAGTTTTAAAATAATATTTTTTTTAATATCAGTGATGTACACATTAATTTTTTTTTAATAAGTACTTCAGAAGTATAAATGAAAATGAGAACCTGAAGTTTATATCAAAAATCAATTGTTTTTATTACCAGCATCAACTTTAATGCAAAATTTTGATTTAGTTGTACTCAAATTTCAAATAAAAGATAATTATAATTCTAAAAAACGTAGCAGTAATCGCAACCAACACTGCTAATGATAAGCTTGATACAGTGGTATTTATACTTAACAGCTTAATTTTGAGTAATTTTAAATTTTGAACACAAACTCATATTCCCCTGCCCCCTCGAGACAAGTCTTTACTTTTTTTTGGACAGAAGTTACTTCAGATATGAGAAAAAGAACTTTTATTAAGATGTAACTATTTACTTACTCTTTCATCCCCACTTTCACTATCACACTAAAAATGAAAAAGAAAAAAAAAAAATTAGTGCATTTTAAAAGAGAAAAAATATAAATTACAATATTGTAGACTGATTCCGGAATGTCTTCTACAGTCTTTGCTTACTGACCTGCACCTTTCACAAAGTATATAACCAAGAATTTGTTTTAACATTTAAGGCACATTATCTGGTGAAAGTTATTAATGCCAGATCTTATAAAGCTGTAATCTAGGAAAAAGCCTGGACATTGAAATAAATAAATAAATAAAGCATCTGACACATGTATACTGAAAAATTAATAAAATGGATTTTTTTTTTTTTTTTGGTCGGTTTAAATAATAACAAGTACTGAAGAGATAAACTAAGACATTAGCAAAAAGTTAAAGGAACAACTATAAAAATACATGTAGCCTTAATCACTTTGCAATTGAGACCACAGAACATATACAAGGATCTTTATTTTGACATGTCAAAATGCAGAATTATATATTTCTGCAAAAAATAAATTTTAATAAGAATGTAGGAAGCATGATATAAAGTGGGGTAGAGGAAAGTTGGTTTTGCAATATTTTAAAGATATGTAGAAAAATTAATAAAGAATGTGATCCCTCCCCCTGACTGCAATGCAAGCTTTACAGGACTTTTTCCAGGATATGCATTAGAATGTCTACAAGTTCTTACAGTAACAAAATGGATTAATGATGAATAATACCTTGAAATTCAAAGATAATAAAAAGATAGGGGATGCAGTGATGCAAGTTTCATCCTAGTGCATCTTTGATTAGATTTAAATCCAGAGAATATGCAGCCCCCCTCCATCAAATGAATTTTTTCACCATCAAGATTATCAGTCAGTTGTGCACAGTTGGTATGAGTATTATTATCCATTAGGAGGAAATTATTACTGATTGTATCCCTGAACAACTTGACATACAGATCAAGAACCACATTTCTATATTATTTCAGCAGTCACAGTTATACTAACAAAAATGTGCAGCCATTCAGAATGATACCCACCCAAACCAGGATTCCACCACATTTGTATCGATTTCTTTCACAAATATTTTCAGGCTTACTGCATGCACAAATGTTTTCAGGCACTTTACTCCCTTCAGATTGCAACACTTCTCAAGTCACTCTCCAAGCAAAAATGAAATTTTTAACGAGAAATTATCTCCAATCACAATCTTTATAACACTGCAAATGGGCGCATACTATAACCTGAATTATTAGGACACAAATCATGGATTCTCTAGCATGTAGCCCTTTTTCAGCAACCTCTCACTCATGGTATACCTAGATAATTTAGTTCCTGCAGCTGAAGAATATGCAAAGGCTTGCAATATGGACTGATATCAACTATCAGTTTCTTTAAGCAAATGATGTCAAATAATGTCCATGAGAGTCTATTGTAGCCCATTTTCAACCTTGACCTGACTATTTGCACATACAGTCAAAAGTCGTTAATCGTCGGGACTTTGGCGATTCCGGGTTATCGATTTTTCTGGATTATAGATTATCAGTTTAAATCTGGTAAGATGGCATGTAGAAATTATAAAATTAAAAATATGAAACCGTAATTTATGAAATAAAGAAAATGATCTAAAGGGTATCAAAATTTACAAAGAAAGCTTAATATTTATTTGTTTACTTATTTAATATTTATATTTATTTCTTTCAATGTAAGTTGTTTAAGTTGCTTCGTTTTATGTGATAATACTTTCTGTTTAATTCTATAAACAGACATAATTTCTTGTTCAGTTACAAAGTTCCGCTGTTCAAGTCCTATAATTGCTGCATTGAGAATACTGACTAATTTGTCAATCGAAATTTTTTCGTTTTCAATAACCTCTGTGTCACTTTCTTCACTATCGGAAGCGAATTATAATGACGAGGAATTTGATTTAAATCATATCAAAGACGGAGTACATCGAGATGAAATACTACATTTAGTAAGGAATTATAAGCCAAATAAAATAAAAACATCTGCCCTAAAGATAAGGATAGTGCTGACAGATCAACTTCCAATTCACTGCGTGCCGCAGAGCAGCGTGAAATTGATAAACAGATTTCGGAATGGTTAGAGAAACAAAGGATATGCCTTTATCCATTTTTTGCAGCAATTCCACTTTTTGTTTAATGAACTTCGAAACATACTTTCGCTTTGTAGATCCTTTACATATTAGTAAATATATATCGGAAATTCTATTTGACATAATCAAAAGTTCAAGCTTACTTTTATAAAATTGCTCTAACAGTCTGCAAAAAATAATAAGCCGGATCCAATTCGAAGCTAAGGAAGAACGCAATATGCAACATTAACTGAATTAAATAATTTTAGCTTAGCTTATACCGTCCATTATACATTAAACGCGCATGCGTAAACGTATTACGCACATGCACACACGCATATTTGCAGCTGTAAAGGTCTTACGCAGACGCATGTGCAGAAATTTTGTCACTTTCAGGTACGGATTATAGATCATTCCGGATTATGGGTGTTCGAATTAACGACTTTTGACTGTATTATTAATGGCTTTAAACTATTTCTAGATTTTTGACATTTTTGGATATGTTTAATTCTTCAAACCTGTGTCAGCTCCTGTTCTGCTTTCATTTCCTCAATCGCAGAATTATTTCTCATAGTCTATCACTTTCTACACGTGAAAGTTTTGGAAATACTTTTGAAATTACAATTTGACACACACCTTGCATTCCTTTTCACACATGACAAAACAGTGGGAGCAAAAACTTGTAGATTTCTATTTAATAAAGATAACACTAGACTATGCAATATAGTTGACCTTCAGCTTTCAACCAACACATTTTATTGGAATTCTCTAAATAAATAGTATTTTATATGTGAACTTAAGCTTATTTTTTTATTCTCAGCTTTATGTTTAATTTAGATTCAACAATTAAGTCGTAAAATTTCTATATATGGACAAGAAGATATGAAGCTGTAACATATCTCTTAAGTATTTAATTTTTTTATGGTTATTAAAAGTCCTCAGCTCGCATTCCAGTTATGCACTGCAGTGGGCGCAAACGAACACAGCTCGCATTACAAATTTAGGACTGACAGACATCTTGCATATTTGAGAAGAAAGGATTAACCTCGCAATGACCAAAGAATTAAAGCTATCAGTATCTAAACTGGAAGAGGAAGAGATTACTTTTGCTTAGATTCATATAGGAAAAAACAACCCCAAATAAACAAATCTGATACATTATTAAAAAAATCTAATGTGGACACTACATGACTCGCTGCCATGGCTATTAATGTATACACATTTTTTTGCTGCATTTGATTTAAACTTATTTCCTCAAATTTCGTTAGAGGTATATTCCTCATTCAATTAACTCACTTCTCATTTCGCGGCAAAGCAGTGAAACATCTTCATTAAAAATTGTAAAATACAAAAAAACATAAAACACCAAATACAGTTGAAAAAACTGTTTTCTAGAATTAAAATTAGAGCTTCTATGCAAAAACAAGTAATTCGGCCAACAGGGAAGAAGGCAGATTTTTTGATGCACAAAACTGAAAGTTTACTTTTGGTCCCACTCAGCAAAAAGACATTAAAGGTGCAGAAACTTACTTTATTCACTGTTCAACTGAGTTTCAAATATAAACAAATGGCAGTTTGTTAGGCTTAACTCACCACTTAAACTTCTAAACTATTAATAATTCTACAGCCATTACATGCCTATTAACTAAAGACATAAAAAGCTTAACTGGAATATAAAAAGCACATTAATTCCAGTCACTTTTAAAACAAAAAATGCGCAATTTACAAACTTATAAGAATAAAAAACTAAACTCACAGAGCACGTAACAGCATAGATATATATATTTAGATAAGATTGGAGCAGCTGATTGCAATGGAACAGGAAGGTGCACAACTACATGTTACAGCAGTCCCATATATAAAATTTCAAAGTTCTTCTCTTTTCACTCTTGAGTTATGTGAGATACATACGTATATACGTATGTACAAACGTCAAAGGAAAAAAATCTCTTCTGAATCCACTTTACAATCCTGAAAATCCATTTTACAATCCTTTTTGGCAAAAGCAGTCCTTTATTCTGCCCGTACATACAGGTGAAAAGCAAAAACATCACTCAAATAGTTTTGAGAGCAGCTGAAAGGGATATTTTTGTTGGAATATGAAACCTGAAATTTTTCCCGATTACAATACTTTCTTTACTTCGTACAAGGAAGTAAAAACAATATAAAAATTTTAGAGGAATGAAAAATATCTAATTACACAATTATACTGAAAAGTATGTTCTAAGAAAAAAGTATGCGTAATAAGTGCAATTCATTTTTTGCACTATCAATTTAATATCTACCACAAAAATCTTGACTTTGGGTAAGAAACAGGAAAAAGATTTCAGAAAGATATAAAAGAAGGTTTTCAAGGTTATTGGAATGATGCCAAAAGAAATAATTTTTCTTGGCACCTCACAGAGTGTTCTAGCAATTAAGGACAACACAAGCAGGAAAGCTGCTAAATGTTCATTTGAAAGGGAAAAAAGAACAATTTAAAAGAGAGTTTAATGATCCCAGCAATTCTCTTTTTGCTTTCATTCTTTAATACGAGGGCCATCCAGGAAGTAGATTACGTTTCCGTCTGTGTCCGCTAGGGGCGGGGCTAGCGCGGCCATCTTGGGGTCAGAGCGTTGCGCAGCTCAGTCTGCATCTAGCCGTGCTAGTGAGAGGTTCGTGCTGTGCTCCGTTCAGATACTGTGACGGTTTGAAATGTCTGCGTTAATTGAAAATCCCGCGAGCTGCGAGGTGCGCTCAGTAATAAGGTTTCTGACTGCAAAAAACTGTAAACCGATAGAAATCTATCGGCAGCTTTGTGAAGTGTATGGGGACAACATTATCACTGAAGGTGGAGTGCGTCAGTGGGTCATAAGATTTCAAAATGGCCGAACCAATGTTCACGACGAAGATCGAAGTGGGAGACCCAGCACAGTGACCGCCGAACTTCTCGAAAAAGTCGATGCTAAAGTCCGTGAAAATCGAAATTTCACAATAACGGAACTTTCTTTGAGTTTTCCACAAATTTCGCGAAGTTTGTTGCACGAAATCATCAGCGAAAAGCTTGGTTACCACAAGTTTTGTGCAAGATGGATTCCAAAAATCTTGACAGAGGACCACAAAAATCAGCGAATGGCTGCAGCGTTGAACTTTTTGGATGCTTACCATAAGGATGGTGACTCTTTACTCGATCGCATCGTTACTGGTGACGAAACATGGGTGAAACATGTGAACTGTGAAACGAAATTGCAATCAATGCAGGGGGGGCACACAAGTTCTCCCCAAAAACCCAAGAAATGCATGCAAACAATGTCGGCAAGGAAGATGATGGCGACTGTTTTTTGGGACAGAAAAGGTGTAATTTTGGTGGACTTCCTGGAAAGAGGCACTACAATAAACTCTCAAAGGTATTGCCAAACTCTCCAAAAACTCAGAAGAGCATTCAAAACAAGCGCAGGAATGTTGAGCTCTAAGATCTTGTTGATTCACGACAACGCCCGGCCCCACACGGCAAATGTCACTCGTAAAGTTCTTGAATCTTTTAAGTGGGAGTTGTTTCCTCATCCGCCGTACAGTCCCGACCTGGCACCGAGCGACTTCCACCTATTCCCAGCAATGAAGAAGTGGCTGGCTATGCAGCGTTTTGATGACGACGCACAGCTGCAAGAAGAGGTAACGAAGTGGTTGAAGGCGCAGGCGGCCGAATTTTTCGACGAAGGAATTTCCAAGCTCGTACATCGCTACGATAAATGCCTTAATTTGTATGGTGACTATGTAGAAAAGTAGTATTTGAGTGTGGCTTTCATCTGTATATAATAAAAATTTGTTTCCTATACTTTGTTTATTTTTTTATTCCAAAACGTAATCTACTTTCTGGATAGCCCTCGTAGATGTCTTTTGAAAATAAAATACATTAATTTAAAATTTGATGGTAAGTCTTACTCAAAAAACAAATTATCCATGACTAATTTTTGAATAAATATTATAAAAGATAGAAAACTTGTATAGTATTATGTATACAAACTCTGGAACTAGAAAAAGAAATACTTTTGGAGAATACAAAATCTACATTACCAGTAGCATTACGGTGTTTTCTGTATGCCTAAATAACTATGATCAGCAGTCATTGTTCCCCTCCCCTTGATAAGACGTAAGCGTTATATTGTCATGCTTAGCAATCTTACTAGAATAGATCTCTTCCCTTGTATTTTTGAAAGAATAAGGTCCTTTTCTTTTTGAATGATTTATTGTGCCAATGCAGCTTATTCCTGAACTCCTAATTTCTTTTACTAATTTCAGCAAATTAAAAATTTTTTCATTTTCAGATTTCTTCCACTACTGTAGTAAAGTTACATCAAGTGAAAAGTTGCACGTTCACCAACTTGTTTCATCTTTTGACTGCACAACACAAAACAAAACTTACAAACAAAATCTTACAGACAAAACTTACAGACAAAATTTAATGCCGAATTTGTCCAGCTTTTTTGGTATATACTGAATAAATCGGCATCAGGTCTTCATGAAAAATCATTGTTCATCCACTGTTATCCTTTCAGGCAGCTTATAACAATTCAAGCAGTTTTCGAAAAAGCATTACAAATATTCAAAACAAGGGCAAATAGATCAATTTGTGGGATCTAGTTATTTCTGTCAAGCCAAAATATTTCATAACTTCCAGAAATCTGTCCCTAGCCATTGTCTCAGTCAGAAATGCTTGGCCACAAGATTCTGACCATAAACTCAAAATAGAAAGGCTTTTTGCAGCCAAAGCTCCATGAACACACAACAGTGAAATGAAAGCATTTAATTCATTGAGTGGAAAACTTCTATTTGAATTTTGCAATTTTTTACGTGCACTGCTGAATGTGACACAATATGTTTTTCATTGATAAACAATCTCCATGCACTACTTGAGTTACCATCAATTATTTTCCTATTTACATGCAAAGTTGGCCCAGTTACATTACTGTAAGACATTCTGCTGCAGTCGTCTCCCTGTAACACTTGTCGAAATATTTTCTATTTTCCAAACTGAGCCATCATTTTCTGTTTCTTCATAGTTTTGAATTTCCTTACTTTGGATACATCTTCCTCGTTTTTGAATTCGGTTTTGTTACCTTTCATTATTTTCTCGAGTTTGATTACAGCTGTTGATTTCACTTTTGGAAACTATACTAGTATAAGTATAGTAATAACTATACTAATATAAGTATAGTAAGGCAATGTAACATTTTCTTGATTTGAATTTTTACTTTCTTTTCTGTTTTGTGAACAGACGAATCACATTCACCTGTTTCAGCAGGAACAATTTAGTCCTTGTTGGATGTAATTTTGGTATGAAATTCTTCCTCAAGTTCAGTTTCTGAAGCAGAATTTTCATCAGAAAGACTTTCAAAACCTTTCAGCATATCTTCCTTCATTAGGGATTTCCTACCAGTGCTTGTACACGACATGATAAACAGGTCAGAGCAAAAAAACTATCCAAATGAAGTAAGGAACATTTGTGTCTACTGAAAAGTAGTCTTTCTAACACAAAGAAAATACGCAGACATGTGATGAGTAAAAATTCCAAGGTGTTTTTATTCCTCCTTCTCCCCTCTCTACTCACTTCTGGGAAATATGCAATCTTCCTTATAAAAAATACACTTGTTTATGTACCACAAACTGGAGAAGGCTAAAAAAGTCATAAAAATAACGAGAAATATATAATTTTTTGAATATGATGAAATGACCGATAGATGTAATTCTAGGTATAAAAAATAATATTGGCAAAAATTATTATTTAAAACAGACAAAAAATATTATGTAATATTCAGAAGTTTTTAGAAAAAGTAAAAAAAAAAAAAAAAAAAACCAAGGTTTAAAATAAAGAATTAAAAAAGTTATATCCAATTACAATGAAGATATGGTCAAAATGACTGTTGTTGTAATTCTAGTGTTAAACATCATATAAAAAAAATCTCAAATCAGAAAAGGCTATCCTTGCAACAGATCAAGACATCCCATAATAAACATTTCTAGATATGGCATTTTTTGGCTTAAAATAAACACCCTACTTATCTCAGTGTCATTAAACCAAATAATAATCAGCAATTAGATATCTCACAGGCACAGCATTCACAGAGCATTTCAATTAATTGTCAGAAATAGTGAGAAGATTTTTTTTTTTAAATGACAATTTTTAGTTACTTCCTTGGTGGCAAGAGGTGCTTAGATAGCATAGAGATTCCTGCATTTCTGACTATAAGTATAAAAGTGTAACTCATAGTAGAGAAGCAGAGTGCACAAAATTTTCTTAAATGTAACAGCAGCACATTTAATTGACATAATTCACCATTTTTCTAAAATTTATTATGAAATACAGATCTTTGGGAAGAAATATGAAACAGCTGAAAATTATTATAACTACATGGTTTTCCATAACTAATTTTAATTCCATGAATAACGTTTTATGAATATTTTGGAGATGTGAAATTTCAAAATGGCTTGAGATGGTAAGAATTTGAAAAAAGAAGAATAATTTGTATAACTAAGAAGATAACTTTTGTGTGTTTGTTTCATTATAGTTCTTTAAAAATGTTATGCTTATAGAGCATTAATTTTATCTGTCCTTTAATCAGATCATGACATCATTGAAAGTACTGTTAATGTTTACACATATAACAAAATGGACATCATTTAAACTAAGGAAAGAAAGATTTAACTTTCTGATCAGCCAGACTGTATATATACAGCCTGAAATATTTTTTGTAATGCTTTTAAAAAAGTATATACATTTGCATCTTGAAATATGTTCAGGAAATTAAGTCAATATATTAAAAGTGCATAAATCAGAGTATAACGTTACAGGGCCATTTTAGCATCAAAATCATGAAAACAGTACTTTTTCATGGCAGCTCTAGGAAATTTGAGGTTTCTTAGTGAAACCCTTTTCTTAGTGGAGAGTTAAAATAAACAGCTAAAAACTACAGAATAATGCTTATATTAGACTATACAGGATTTAATTTGATATATAACAATTTTACATGAATATGATTTTATAACATAATTCAGTATATGAATTATTCTAACTGAAAGCACATGTGAATTAGATGGATTGAAAGTTGAAATTTCTGTCAAACAATGCTTAAGTACTTTTAAATAGATAAAACAATAGGCACTAATGGAGCTTATACTAACAAAAACTCCCCTATAAAAAATTACGATACTATTTATAACCGAATAGTTCAATATCAAACACTTAAATTAATTACATTACAATGCTTTGCAGTGTATTATACAAAAGTAAACAAATCTTTATCATACATTTTAAAAACTAAAATGGATGACTAATTCATGCATAATTACCATTCATACATAATCACATATAAAAATTCATTTACACAGAATTCATTTCTAATGTTAAACACATAAAAATCAGAAGTTTAACAATTTATAAATAAATTTATAAACATTTATTTTTTGCATATAAATTTGTATTTTTTATTTTATCAATAATTTCAATAAAAAATTTACTTTTCTTACCAACGACGAATATATAATACATGCAATTTTACTTGAATTTACATTAACATTCTTAGAACAACTTAAGTGAAATAAAGTGGAAAACAAATACACAACTTACCATATAGCCTCTTTCTAAACTTGCATGACTGCTAGCCTGTTAAAAGGAAAAGGGAGGAAATATAGTTCACATGTCAATGCAACAAACTTTAATGTCAACAACAATATACAGAATTCATTTTCTAAAATTGGCCAATTTCTTAAAGAGTGTTATAAAATTATCAAACACCACCCCATGCCAAAAGATTTAAACTAGAACATCTCTAAATATTGTTAAGCACGTTCTTCATACTTAAACAGTTTATTACATTTTAATTCTGGAAACTTCTATTGCATTTCTCTCTTAATACATATCACACATAAAACTTAAAAGCTGGCTCAGTTTTTAATCAGAATTCATCAATTCTAGCTCAAACTGGGTAGCTCTGAATTGTAATTCATGAAACTGAATTGTAATACGAGCAAACAATTATACCATTTATGTAGAAGTTTGCTCAGTAATAAACAAGGTTTTCTGAGATTAACTTTGCCCTTCTTCATGAAAAAGTACAAATTGTTAAGCAGCTGGTAAACGTAGAACTGGAATGCAGCTACATGTTAGATAAAATATTTATGAGGCTCAATTTCCTATTCAGTCATGAAGTTTTAAAAAATTTAAAGTAAATAAAGAAACAATTTTATTTGACTAATTAGAAAATGACTACAGTTTATATATTTGAGTTCTTCATAGTTACACTGTAAATTACTTCTGCCTGCTTTAATATTACTGCAATCAACCATATCAGATGCAAGTCCATTTATGACTGACCAAATAAAATTTATCAAAATTTCAGTACCTAAAATGCCTAAAATGCACGAATAACAAGGATGCAATACTGTTGCTAAACTTTGACCAGAAATATCTTAAATGACACGAAATTTTGATATTTTTTTTTAAATGTACACATATATCTGTACATATTTGAGATTTGAATGAATTAATCTTTACGAATTTTTATTTACCTTTACTTATATGGAATTTTTGTTCAATATCAAAACTTGCTAAATGACTAGATACATCATATATGCTCTAATATAGATGAAATTTAATTATTTCCAAAATAATAAACAGCTAAACTTTCAGACTCCTTATAAAGCTGAGATTATGAATTACAATTAAACAATTTAAATAAAAAAATACAAAAAGACTAAAAATCCCAGTCCTATGGGGGAAATACAATGCAAAATAGCCTGAAAAAATGATAAATTGATTAGATTTTGACTGGATTCAAATTAGTCCCATCAAAGGAGAATAATGTGCAAGTAAATACTTTTTATTAAATAATTGTATACATCAAAAATGTCCATTTTGAAATAAGGTGACACTCAAGAGAAAATTACATCTAGCTTTCTATAATAACATCCTATGCAAGGGATTTAGGAGAGTAACTAACTCCTACATCCAAGAGAAAGTATCAACTAAGTCAGAGATGGGCAAACTATGGCCCGTGGGCCAACTCCAACCTGCCAGAAGGTTCTACCTGGCCCGCGGATAAAATTTTAATTTGACGGTCCGAGGCAAATTAAAAGATTTTTTTTTATTGACATTATGGCAAAGCACACTAGGGCTATCTGCCTAAGGGGAAAAGATGCCTTCGTGGAGGACTTTCTATGGAAAACTGGCTCGTATATATGTAACACATGGGGAAAACCACGAAAATGCCCATGCAGCCAGCCCGTTTGTGGGATTTGAACCTTGGACCGAACTACCAGTGTTCAGCGATTTTACCGCTCTCCCGCTGGTGGGGCACAAATTAAAAGAAATATATATTTATATGTTATATAGCCATCTCCTTTTCTACTTTGTTTAAATATTATTTTTTTCCTTCCCTTTTTTCAAAGGACTAATTATCTTTTTACTTCCCTATTTTTGTTCTACAAAACATAAGCTAATGGAAATAGCAAGCACAAACAGCTTTCAATCGGTAAAGTGTTAAAAGCGGAAGTTCTTTGTTAGTTATAGCTATAGATTGCTACCAACAAGCGTTATCTCTTTCTTGGGGAGCAGACATATGGGAATCCGATACAGCGACTTTTTCTTTTGGTGCGAGTTCTAATATTATTGATTGTGTATGGAGAGATTGCGCACCTATACCATAATTGTGAATAGTGGTAAAATTATTAAAAGTATAGCGTAGCTAGTGTTAGTTTGGGTTATTTGTAAAATATTTCAATTCCAAAATTACTACTAAAAACCATAAAGTTGATTCAGAGTGCTGTCCTTTTAACGATGAATGAATGAACCTGGAAATATTTTTTTTTTTTTTTTTTTTTTTGTTTTTTTGTTTACAGTTGTAAAAGATAAACCAGTGTGTCTCATCTACAATGAAGCTTTAGCAGTCTTCAAAGAATATAACATTTTCCGTCATTTCACATCTAAGCATAAGAATTCCAATTACAAAACAATGTTTGAATATGAAAGAAAACAAAATGCAGAAAGTCTTCATAAAAAATTATCAGGCCAACAAAATTTTTTCAAGAAGGTAAACAGTATCCAAGAAGCAGTTACATATGCAAGCTACATTACAACATACAATATTGTTAAAAATAAATAAAGCTCTCAGTGATCGAGGGTTCGTTAAATACAATGCATGCTCCAAGTTTGTGATGTTTCATGTCCAGACAAGAAAAATAATTTTGAGACTGTAAGCTTATCTTGAACAATGGTGACTTCTAGAATCAAAGACATTGATAAAAAATTTGACATCACAACTAGAGTCAAAGACTGGCCAATTTAAATTTTGCTCCATAGCTATGGATGAAAGCACTGATATAAATGATATTTGAATGTCAAAAGGCAAGGGGAAAATCAATTTATCGACGATATCTGGGCCCATCTCAAAGCTTTTAAACTAAATCTTAATCTGTTTGCTGGGCAGCTAACTAAGAACGACTTGTCTCATTCCCCGAGGTTAAACCTCAGTAAATGAAGAGAACCTTAAGAATTATGAAAATGGCTTGAAAAAAATGCATTTTGAATTCAAATGAAGATTTCAGTGCCATTCAAACAGAATTGGATATTTTTACCATTCTTTCAATGTAAATTGTAAAGCAACAAGGTCAGCTCTGCAGCTTGAATTAATTGAGTTGCAATCTAAAAATCATATCAAGCAGTTGTTTCTAAATATTCCAAAGTTAGAGTTTTATAAAAAAATTATCGAAAGTAAGTTTCCCAAATTTAAAATCTCACGCCCAGAAAATCAGTGCTATGTTTGCTTCATCTTATATTTGTGAACAAGTGTTTTCAACTATTAACTTTAAAAAGAATTATTTCAGAAGTAGACTGATAGATGAGCATTTAGCCTCGTTCCTTAGAATCAGTACATCTCACTTCAAACCTCAATTTAAGGAACTTTTAAAAATGAAATTGCAATTTCATTCATCTCATTAACTTATTTAAATTGTAATATTTGTATATTGTTTTTAGAAAAGTTTATCTTGGCCTGCCAAACATTCTTTTCAATTTTTGGCCAGGACCGAAAAAGTTTGCCCATCCCTGACCTATGTCATAGATGGCGACAAAGTAGGAAGTAAAAAAGACCATGTCCGAGTATGTAGTTAGATTTTTTATAGACTTATTATTAAAGTTCTTTTTTGAAATATGATCCACTGCAGCTACAATTAAGATATAAATCTTTCTTTGCTTAATTTCTAGAAATATTAATTATAAACTCCCAGCAAATACATATGTAGAGAGCATAGTTATCTCCTACATACATATACAGAAAACATAGTCATGATTTTTCATTATTCTTAATTTAGAAGAAATATATTAAAAGGACACTAAATTTCAGCTTACGTCACTAAGTTGGTCCCTCGACGTGCTCCTCTGAGTCTCGAGGATTTCTTCACCGGGTCTAGAGTTTTCATCATTAGACAGATTGGGCTCTTTCAAGTTATTTCGAATCTAAAAAAGATTTGAGAATAAAATATTTTACAAAAAATAATAGCATATAAAAAATTATCTCATGAATACTTAAAAAAATAGTATTTTCTTAAAAATAACTTGTATATTTAATTACAGCTATACAGTTCTAATGGCAAAGTTTTAAATTAGTATTATATTATAAACCATATCTCACATTATTTATGGAACATGAGCTTTAAATTAGATAAATTTATTGAAGACAGTTAATCATAATTGAAGGTCAATATTATTAAAATATAAATAATAAAAACTTCTAAGGTCTCTATAATGGGATTTAAAGATTAATCATTTATGGTGAAAGCCAGAATGCTCAGGACAATTACCTTATATCATATTTGCTTTAACCTTCCAGCACGCGCATATGCGCAAAATTTACGACAAATTCAGTTTTAAATGCACTCTTTTCGCATATCGAAGCTGAGACGTCTGAATGTCATTTTTATTCCTCCTTTCTACCCTTCCTCACATCATGGAATGTGCCAGAAAGAAGTCGTTTGACTTTTTTTTTTTTTTTTTTTTTTTTTTTTTTTTTTTAACTGGGCATTTGTGCTACATGGCAGCTTTTTCGTGAGAGTTACGAAACGCGCATATACATGAGTGAAAATATTTTTTTCTCAAATATTTTGTAATTTTGTGTTATTAATTACCGTGTATTATTTTAATTTAAATACATTTGGCTCTGTAAATTTTATATTCATTTTCATGGCAAAAAAAAAACATATGCAACCAGTTGATTTTCTTGGATTCTTCAAGAATTATCTGAGGAAGAAAAGGAAGACAAGGAAACCTTTGGATGAGAGAACAATAGTGATTTCCATTCCTTATTTTCTTTTATTTCCATTTTTTTAGAAATAAATAACAGTATTAAAGTTAGTTTAAAGTGTGTTTTTGTAACCAGTAAGAAGCAAATTTCCTTGCAGAAGTAAGTACTGCTAAGCTTACTTTTTCTCTACCAAGGTGTTTTCCTTTTTTATTTGTCTGTACTTGCCTTTGACGAATATTAAAATTAGTTCAAATTTGTTTTCTGTTCATCCTGGAAGAGGAAGAAAACACACTTCTGCAGAAACAGTATAGGAGGTTGCTTTTCAAGTGGTAGAGGACACAGCTTCAAACTTTCAGGCCCCATGTTCAACTGTCCATAAAATCTTGTGGAATATCCTCATATTATCCATCCAAATTTTTACTGGTGCAGCAGTTGCAGTTGCAAAATAAATTGTAGTGCGGATTTAAAAAAAAAAAAAGGGGGGGGTCTATTTTAATGAAGATATTAATTTAATTTTGTAATTTTCTTTTTGATTTCAATTTTGCTTTCTATTTAATTTTATTTCTTACTTCTTTGATATGAACAAAAATTCAGTTCCAGAATAAAAGATGGGGAAGGCATCTCATTGTGGATCAAAAACTGCTAAAACCACCACTACCAAAAAAAGGTTATTGCAGGAATACAAATGAGACCTTAAATTATACAGAAAATGAAAATATACTTAAATTAATAATATCAGAAACATACATAAAAACATAAACATGAAATACATTCAAAAATAGTTTCTTTAATTTCTTCCATAGTGGAAGAAACATATTTCTTCTTGCTGGCCCCGCCCATTATGGGAAAAATTTGTACACCTAATTTAATATGCAATGAAACTCTTTCTCCCTTTTCCAGCATTTACATTAACTGTAACATAAAAATAGCTATTATTCTTGAATACCTTAAAAAGCGTACTAACCAGTTAAAAATTAGAATTACAATGAACTACTGTAAATATAGAAATTATAATTACAATGAACCATGAAACATAAGCAGTAATACGACCATACAAAACTGGATATCCTGCTATATCAAATGGGGAAGTCAATTCTGCTATATCAAATGGAGAATTATTACGCAGACTGAGGACTTGCACTGCAGTTAGCAGACAAGTGCTATGCTAATATTTATATTCTCCATTTGCCACTTTCTTCTTTTATTAAGATTTATTTGAAAACAAAATAAATTTCATATATGAAATGAGCCTCTGTAAAGCATTAGTTTGTAAATTAATGTTCATACAGCCTGCTTGCTTGTATATCATTAATACCCTTTATAAACTGACCGCTATGCAATAGATCATAAAAAAGTCCCAACTGATCTTGTATCAGCTTAATGTAATTTACCTAAATATAATGATCTAGTGACTGACCAAAATTATATTACAACATGCACGAGAATAAGGTAAAATGTGAAAACATTTGTCACATTCAAGATACCCCCCTTTCTTCTGAAGGCAATAAGAAAACAAAAATTAAGTGCAATTATACCCAGCCATTTCCCAACACAACCAACATTAATAAGATATGGAGGCTGTTCGCACATTTTTTAGATGATTTTTGTTGTATTTACAGAAGTATTTTACCTAAAAATGTTTTATTTGAAAACTGTTACTCTTCTCTACCTTTCTGCACCATAATTTTCAAGATAATAAAGCTATTTGCAGTATGTGAAGGGATATTTTATCCCATTCTTCTTGAATAGCTTTCCAAAGTCCAAGAGGGTTATAGGTTGACATTTGGACAATATTTGTGACCCTATTTTTCCATTTCTGTCAGAAAAATGTTTTTCATAAAGAATTCTGCAGCCCAATCTGCATTTGGTGATATATCATGGACAAAGATGATGAATGCATATTTAAATGAACGTTAATTACTTTGTTTACAGTTGACGCTGAGCATTTTAATGATTTTGCAACTGCCCTTTGACATGGCGAATTTTTGTTTATCATTAACCCTCTAACCGGCAAGGCCATCTGCAAGAACATATATATATATACGTGCATATTAAAACATGTCAAAGTAATTAGTGCAATATATTAAAAGCACACAAATCCAGAAAAAACACCAGGAGAATTTTTACATTACAATCAAGAAAATAAATTTTTCTCATAGAAGTTTTGGGAAATGTGTGCTTTCTTAGTGTTAAATATAGAAAATGCCGTGGTTCGCAAAACAAATATTTGCACAGATAAATAAGTACAAGCAGAATAATACAAGCAAGCAGAATAATACTAAGCAGCGATAAGCGGTTACAGAGGTCATATATATAACTTCACAACAGATCATGGTTTAACAAATCATAAACAAGACACAATAAGTAACCAATCAAAAGAAACATACAGAATGGGATTTAGTTTCAGAATAACTCGGACCTGGCTGAAAGCTAATGAATGTTTCGGACTTGACAGAAAGCTATACTTCCTTTTACACCAGTAAGAATGCGATTACAAATATCTCAACACTTAGCAAAATCCTGGCTGGTCAGAGGGTTAAAAGGTCTTACTTTTACAACATCCAAACATTGCATTTTTTGCTTTGGTACGTATTTGGAACAATTTTTCCACTTGAAGCCAACATTTTTTTCCTTTCTTGTTGACAACAGATTTGCTCGTTCTCACCTGCATTCCTGCAACTTGTTTTGTAAAATACACAGCTCGACATTGAAAATGCAACACCAAGAAGAAGTTGTCAGAAATTTATGCAAATTTTAGAGTAGACGTATGTCACTGAGTTAATGCAAATGATGTGAAATGTGCAGCTCTCCAACGCACATGAAGTAAGATATAAGGGTAGGAACGTGCAGAATGGGCAATATTCATGTCGTATTTTCTGCCAGATGAATTATCAAAGAAAGTTGGTTTTTGTCCCGGAGGATACATGTAATAGGAGAGAATGCCAGGCCTCCGTCAATGAAGGCACTTCCAGCAGATAGACGATTTTACGAGGGGTATGGTGATCGGACTGAGAAGGGCGGGTTGGTCCTTACGTCAAATTGCAGCTGATACCCCCATGGATGCGAGCATGGTGCATCGGCTATGGCGAACATGGTTGGAACAATGAAATGTGGGATGAAGGAGGGGTGCAGGTGCAGCCAGAGTGACGTCAGCACACGTGGAATGACGCATCCGCCGACAAGCTGTGGTGGTCCCACAAATCACTTGTACTGCGATTCTGCAGCATGTACAAGATACCCTGGATGTTTCTGTGTCGACCAGAACCATTTCCCATCAATTGGTTTAACGTGGCCTGCACTCATGGCATCCATTAAGAAGACTGCCATTGACCCCACAGTATAGACACCAACGTTCCGAATGGTGCCGGACTGCAGTGATGTGGATGACAGAATGACGAAATGTAGCGTTGTAAGATGAGTCATGCTTCTGTGTATTTAGTGACAGTTGCTGCATTCGTGTGTGGCGTTGACGTGGAGACAGATCTAATCCGGCAGTAACTGTGGAACGCCCCCGTCGTGCAACAACAGGGCATAATGGTTTGGGGCACTATTGCTTACGATTCCAGGTCACCTAGTTCGTATTACCTCTAGTTCAGGGCACTATGACGGCCCAACGATACTTGGATAATGTACTGCAGCCGTTGGCAATCCCCTACCTTCAGGGGTTGCTTAATGCAATTTTTTCAGCAGGATAATGCCCGACCACACAGTGCTCACATCTGCCAACATGCTCTGCAAGCTATACAGATGCTTTCCTGGCTACCGTACTCTCCTGACCTGTCACCTATCGAACTTTGGTGGGATGTGATTGGACACCGTTTGCAGACTCTGCCCCTGCCTCGTTCAGAAAACAAGTGTGGCAAATGGTTGAAAGGGAACGGAGAGCCATTCCTCAGGACACCATCTGCACTCTTACTGACTCTATGCCTAGACGCATTTCTTCATGCATCACCGTCCGCGGTGGTCCTACATCTTACTGAGCCGACGCCGTTCTCACTCTGTATTCTGGCTATCATTTTGAAATAAAGATCACTTATTGCTGCTTGCTGTCTGTCTTTTTTCCAAATTTCTTCACTTTCTGACTACTCCTTCTTGGTGTTGCATTTTCAATGCCGAGCACTGTATAAAAGTTGTTATGTTGTGAGGATGATTAGTGGTTTGTTAAATGAATTACTTCTCTTTCAGTAAAACGAATATGGGTTACGTTCCCAGTATATTAGAATGATGTACCTAATACAGCCATGCCTACATATTTTTTTCACCTAAAGTAAATAAGCACCCCTGTTTACAAGTGACCGATTTGGGGAAGGGATTGCTCCAATTCGTCTTCAAACGTTTCAAATTGCATACGGCTCTTTGATTCAATTTTTGATTAGAAATAAAAGAAAAGACAATTCTTAAATAAAATAAAACACCATTTGAATCATGCGTATAGTGTACATGATTCGTCTCCTTTCTATTCTACAGTGATAGAATGGGAAAAGTAATTTCACATTCATCAAGAATCTGTAGATGATTTTCATGAAGGTCGATCATTGGTAGCATTGGCATCAGAAAATACTATGTGCCCTTAGAATGAAATGTTGAGTGATAGGAGACAGCAGCAAGACAGGATCTATCTAAAACTGTTTTGCGCATCTCCTATAACACTTCATATGAATGGGTCAGTTAGCCTGATTTCTTTTAGCAATTCAACTATTTTTTTAGCTCTAGTTTCAATTTTCTTTTTAAGCAAAGAATTTTAAAGAAAATTAATTTACTCGCATAAAATAACATCAATGAATACTTAAGTTTTACAATACCATTATCTATAGAAAAAACTAGCATGGTTAATGATGAATAAATCAAAATAATTATTTAAAATGCATTTCAAATTTTCTTACAATTCGTAGTGAACCAAAAACTATTTACCTTATTGTGTAAAAAGTTTTTCTTTTTGACTTTGGGCAGTGTGTTGTTTTTCTTTGTTTTGGGCTTCTTATCAAGCTGAGGCAGCGATTCTTCCAGAACAGGGGGATGGTCTGCACTATTTTGACGAGGAGTAGCATCTTCTGTGCTGCCGCCATCACCTTCCGCCGCTTTCTTTTCATATTTATTTACAGTACGCTGCAAGCAAAAGAGATGTAATTGTAAATGTATGCAGTTCAGGATTTACGTATAAGCTATACGAGCTGTAGCTTAGGGCCCCCACTTTCTTGGGAGAGTGACCAAAAAAAATTTAAATATAGTATAATTATAGTATTAAAATATAGTATAACAAACTTATCTCAAACAGCTTACCTTATCAAGTCTAAATCCAGCTCTAAACTTATAAATACTAATGCTAACAGTACACAGTAATACATACACAATAAGTTAAATGTTTTGATGATGGATTAAAATGAGAGAGCTGAAACTCTGCTCAAAATGGTAAACATTTTTAGTCAAAGAGGGCTTACTTTCTAAAATAAATTCTTCACATTTCCTAATTCTCAAATGATGATTGAAATAAAATAATTATGAAAAACTTATGTTAGATAAAGATATTTGCCTTGAGAACTATCTACTGCAAGATGGATGGCTTTATTGAAGACTTAGGAGAATTGGCCTATCATAAAGGTGAAAATTAGTTCAATCCCTTGCAGTCTGCCTGCTTAGTCATCAATGGGAACTGTAATCCCTGATAGAAAATCAGTGTTTGGAAGTTTTATTTGCCCAGCTAATGATATCAGTTTAATTGTGAACTTAAAATATTTCTTTCAACTGCATGCAAAATTTCCCATCAGAAAAAGGCAGTAACAATTGAATTAAATTACTATTAAATTATAATTTTCATTATCATGTAGATATGCATTAATTTCAACAAAAACAAAGAAAATATGAAGCTGATAACAAAGCTTGATATTTCTTTATCAGTAGCAAATATCAGGCCATTTCTGATGCTATAATTCCAGTAGTTTGATATTTTTATTTATTTTTTATATTAATACTTTTAACAATGCATTACTGTTATTTTATTTTAAAAGAAAGCATATATTACAAGTATATTCATATGCTTAAATGCATAAAAAAGTTCACGTTTAAAATTCAATAAATTTTCCAAATAGATGTTTAATTCCCACCACCACCATGTTACACACCCTGCATTTAAAAAAAAAAAAAAAAAAAAAAAAAAAAAAAAAAAAAAAAAAAACTAAATAATGCTCTTGCGTAAATCTATTTCAAAAGATAAAAACAACTAATAATTTATAGTTTAAAAAAATTGCAGCAAATTATGTAAGGAAGAACCGCTGCACATCAATTCAAACTGCCTTAGCTAAAACAATACAAAAATACAATACTTGCGAACCCCTGATTAAGTAGCGGAAGTATAAATTTTCAGCAGATAAAATTTCTATACCGAACAAAACTAACACATCAGTGGACAGACTAAACAAAAAAAGTGTTTTCTTATCCTGTGGCGAAAGCCCGCAGGAGAACGAAAAAATAAGCAGCCCAAATTCCATCTGCGGTCAAGAAAGGCAGGTTTATTGAGGCATTAGCGAAGCAACACGAACGAAAAAGAAGCCTTCCCAATAGCAGCGCGCAGCGAATCAAGGTCACTCAGTTAAAGAGCGCGATGCGACAGGAAGGTCGTTACACCCCAACCAGCAGGTAGGAAAAGGGCGCTTTTGGCTACGATCCAGCATCGTCGCTCGCAGACGACACAGGTGCGCCAAGAAGCTGATCATTCAAAACTGATGGAAAGTGTTACTTATAATAACAAAACAAGCGTCTTAGAATGCAGGATAAACAAATTCACTTCTTAAAATACAAATGTTATTTTGTTGTGGCTTGAACTTGCGCAGAAATTTAAATAATGGTTAATATCGTTTTATTTGTTTTTAGCTGTTTTTGGAATTGCAACGAAAATATTATTCAATTTTTGTTGTTCTAAAGAATTGCTAAGAGCTTTAAAAAAATTAATTTTGAATTAAAATGTGGATTAAAGTTATTTAATGAAACGGAGTTCAAATTATAAAGATTCATTTGGAGTCAGTAGCCAATAACTTTATATTTAATACTAGCACTTGAAGAAAAATATTGGCACTTGGGAGGTGCACAATGATTGCATGCTTTGGCGGCATTTCAAACATTTAATTTCTTTCCAATCATGTTTTAAAAATTATCCTAAATTGCAAACTAATTTTGCTTCGGTCCATCATAAGGTATACGTGTCCACGGTTATCCAAAACTAAATTTGAGCTATGTAAGATTCATCTAAAACCTGCAAATTCGTGTATAACATTCACTGCCATTAAACAAAAGTCCTGGTCTAGAACATTCGGTCACATGTTTCTGGTTTATTCCCATACCAATATTTTCATCAAATGTTGATAAACATAGAAAAAGCAAATGATGTATAAACACCAAGTTTTAAACATAAGAATTAACTGAAAATGACAAAATGATTTGATACAACCGTCCAGTCTTTCCCAACACTGGAGAATAAAACGATAGTAGCGCCATCTTAGGAGTGAAAGAAGGTTAGGTTATTTAATTACGGCAAAGCCTCGAGGGCTATCTGTCTAAGGGAAGGGGATGCCTTCGTGGAGGACTTTCTAAGAGAAACTGGCTTGTATACACGTAGGAGTAAAAGAAATGCTGTAATGTGTGCCATCGGGTGTGCTGAACCACTGAATGTCAGACTGCCTTGCTTTTGCTGTATTTCTAAAAAGTATCACCGTAGCAAAATACAGATAACGAACCAACTCTCTTTTTGCTTATCACTTAAACTATTAGCATACATTGCACATTTTGAAACTGTTCTGAAATTATTACATGCACAATTTAAACAAAAAATTTTATTTCACAGGTGATATCGAGCTTCAAACTGCATTATACTTGAGAAAGAACGCTTCATTTAATGAGACAAATAACCACAGTTTTGCTTTTCTTATATTTATGTTTCTTTCTCATTGCTTATTGACATACTTGAACATCCTTTTTAAAACAGTTCTAAGGGGCTGAAAAGGTCCATGTATTACTGTTGAAACGACTTGTTCAGGAAATTTATAACAGCATATTTATTTTCTGTGTACTTTTTATACTTATATTTTAGCTTAGCGACTTCTTTTGCATAGTTAAAAAGCTGCAAAACTGACCAACATCAAACAAAAATTAACGAATACATCTTCACAGTATTACGCTCAAATCTAAATGATTAAAATGTGTAGTATTTTTTCAGTCTTTTTTAATTACTATTTTGGGGAGAACGACGTCGCAGAGTATTTAGTAACATGTAGATCGCACAGAAACCGCACAGAAGCAATAATTTTGGAAATTTTTTATCAAGAATAAATTTTTCGTACTGCTTTTCTATCATAATTTATGCATAAATTGAAAGACTAAGATCAGAAATTAATATGTAATGACGTTACGGATCAGAGGAGAATGAATTTGAAACTAGAATAAGAAAGGCTCTTTAAAAACACTGTTATATGCACTGTTTATGAGTATTAACAAATAAACTATGATAGGAACTAAACAACGATAAATAAAAATTCATCATAGAAATAAATTTTTCAATTGAAGCTTATTTTTATTCATTATTATTATTCATAAGTTTATTTTTATTCATAAGAGAATGAATGCTTATGCAGCAATATACTGTATCTTAACATTATGAAAGCAATTTCGAAGGTTTAAAAAAAATATTTCTCGCGGTTCAATTTCTGTGAACAATTTCTCGCTACCCCCAAGCACATGCGAAATAGGCAAAACTGCATTCCAAGAATGCTACTAAAATCAAAGGTATTGATTGCAAATTCGAAATGAGTATAGTGCGACGATTTCAGCGACACCTCGCGAAATTTGCTGAAAGTTATTGATTCCAATGAAAAGCTTATACAAACGCTTTTGTAAGGACAGATATTGGTACTATTCTGTTTGAGGGCCGTAAAAAAATTGCAGCGAAAATGTATGCGCAAAAGCGCCAAATCTAGCAAACGCGCCCATTTAACAGCGCGCCAAATCTAGCGTACGCGCTGATTTCAGATTGCGTAAGTTTATATACTTCTATATTTCTTAAGACGCCATTGAAATACTAGCTTAATTTTTAAGTCCTTTTTTGATTTTAAATCCTTTTTTGATATGCTATGGATTTAACAATTTGGGAATCGCCCATGACGAAAAGTCGGCAATAGAATTTTGGGTAAAGTGCAGAATCACCCACTGCTTGAAGCGTTTTTAAGAATTGCACAAACTCGGTATCCATGTGCACATCGACCTATTTTCACTAAAAAAAAAAAAAAAAAAAACTCCTAGAATTGCACAAAAATGGCACTGCGCACGCCCTTGACTTTATCTATGTACACATAGACCTATTTTCACTTAAAAAGTAAAAGAAAATTGACAAAAATCCAATTGTTCTTACCCTTGTAAAAAGCGGCAAACAAATAAGTGAGCGATTCTGCACTTTACCGAGAATATTTTCAAAGAAAAGGCATCATTCATTGTAGAAAATTACGTTTGAATAACCAACGAGATGAAATTATGCTTTAGCGATAAGTCGGTAGCGAAATAGCGATGCAGGCATCCATTCAGTTATGTTTAGCAAATTTTATATAAATTATAATAATCTGAAATAGTTATTTACTCTTATGCTTCCATTCAGTCATGTTTAGCCTTTTTTCATATAAATTATAATAATAAAAAAGTATTATATGAAATTAACATTTCATCTAAATTAAAACATCAATCTTAGATAGTTATTTACTATTATACTTCCTTTCTTGCCGCAATTATTATAGGGTTGCAGCAATTAGTTTTGGCAGAATTGACATCAACAATAATTTGGCGATTTTTTACGGCCCTCGAAACCGAATAGTACCATATTTATTTAGTTTTTAAAATGTCTAAGAAAAGTACAACTATAATTTGATTAACTAGATTGCAGCGATACTCTTACGTAGGGCAAATAACAAGAACAACTGTCATGGCAAGTCGTCATGCTGCGTAGTTAATTGTGCAGTACGGCAAGGGCTATGGACGGTAATTTTTAGAGCAAAGTAATGCAGAAAATAGAAACTCCAGGGTGTAGATGTTAATGTGATATATATGAAAAAGAAAATTATTCACTTTACTGG